CAAGATAAACCCTGTAGACCCTGTCATATCCTTCTATTGTTTGCTCTTAGATGAAATGGCAGTGTAATTATTCACTTTTTGCTGTGTGGGGGATGCTATAGTTATCATTGTATGGTTTCATGACATGCCAGCCCACGTGTTGACTCGAGTACTACACAATACTACATTTAATTATCCTCAATGCTGTAAGTGGCTATAATGTCACTTATTATAACGAAGTAATACATGTTTGTCAATGGCAGCTGTTTAAAATATTACATTTCCCCCTTTTAATCTCAAGTTTGTCAAATTGTCTTGCATTTTTTTTTTGCTTTTGAATTGCATTTCGCTTGATTATTGAGGTAATTGCTGCAATTAGATAATACATTTTATCATGAGTGCATATTTTGATGATGTCTTAACCTCTTTAGCTTTGCCTTAGACTTTTTGTATGTCTTACAGGATTTCAGAAATTAATTGCAAGATTGCAAGTGTAAATCGTTCAACTTTTTTTCATGTATCGCATGAGTTTGTGTCCACCATTTTTGAGAAATAAATGTGGGTCACGGCTTAATAGCCACGGGGAAACTGTGAGTCTCATGGCTGAAACAGCACTATACAGGCATAGTGTCAGACATTTTTACCTCAGTGGAAAATTTACTCTTTAAAAGAATAAAAAAAATGTTTTTTTTTTTTTTCAACTGAAAGTGTTTGGCAATTTAATACGATATACAATTTTAGGTGAAACATTGATCTGTGAATTACTGCAAATATTTGGAAAAATAACTTCAATATACCCTTGTACAACAAAATATAACCGTTAAAATGGTTGGGTAGTAAGATTTTGTTGATGTTTTTGGAAAGAAGTCGCTTATGCTCTCTTTATTTAATAAAAAAAATATATCATAGTAATGTTGTGAGATATTATTACAATTTAAAATAACTGTTGTCCAAATATTTTTAAAACTGATTTATCCCTATGATGGCAAATCTGAATTTTCAGCAGCCATTACTCCTGTTTTCTGTCACATGATCCATAAGAAATCATTGTAATATTCAAAATTTGTTTCTCAAGAAACATTTCTTATTTTCATGTTAAAACAAGTTGTGCGGCTTAATATTTTTGTGGAAACTGAATTCTTTCATGAATAGAAATTTCCTACGAATGAAAAGTATTCATAAAAAAACAAAACAAAAACACCATTATACTGACCTATAGTGTGGTGCACTTACTTTTTTTGTTCAAAATTTTAATCATTAGCAGTTGTGTTTAACCCCAAGAGCACCAAAAGTTACATATTGCACCTTTAAATCATGCAAAGTACAGTTTCATGCCCATTAATAAATATTTATGGCCATTCAATTTTCTCAATTCTGGCTATTCTAATGACAGCTTACTGATTGACACCTTGAAGGGAAGGTTGTAGCTGTTGGACTGCTGGGAAATCACATGTATAGGTACATTTTGGTTCAACCATGTCTTTAGGACCAATAACCATGATGATATGTCTCTTCCTCTCTTTTGTTCACCTCGCTGTCAACTCACTCTGCCCCTCTCGCTCTTCCACAGATGAGCACAGTAAGTGTGTGTCGGCTACATTTGATTTGTGGAACTGTGCAAACAGTCGCAGATCCCAACATGTTCACTAACTAGACTTCACCCCCTTCCATCTCATCCTCTGTTTATCCGGCTTTTCTATCCCTCCCGTTTACCCCGGGGAGACAACGGGTTGAAAAGGGTCTGTTTCTTTATCTAATCCCCACCTGGATTCTTTGTCTGAGACCCCATTTGAAACACACAATGCACTTTTGTCTCTTTTTGCATGTCTTTTCTCTACATGTATGTTTTGTGTCGTCTCGTGTTGTTTGCAACCACTTAGAGCATCCATATGTCAAGAATGGGCCCCTTATCTTGCAGGGAATCAGTTTGATACCACTGGTTGTTGTGCGTTTAATAGACTGGTTGTTTTCCCACTGCAGCTGGAGTCTATATCCTCTCATATATTGAGAGAGAAAGAGGCCAAATGAAAGAGTTTAACCTTGGTTTAGATGGAAACAGGATGATGCTTTCTAGACAGTCTCCCACTGATGATACCTTTAAACGGAGTCGAGTAGGTTGACATCTCCTCTGTTTGCTTTATTTAGAAAGGGTGTTAAGAGCTGGTTTTTATATGTCTGCTTTGGCTCTCATATGACAAATTGCAGGAAAACATTTTAAGTGCAAGTTTTAGTTCCTAAACGGGCTGGAAACAGGATGTGGTGTATAATAGGTCTAGTTCATAGGTTTAACTTAACCTCAAATGGGATGGGGAACTGGTTATGTGGGGGATCTCTCACGTCTGAATCAAACTATCTCTGACAAAGAGTTATACATATTTTCTGTTTCTTCTTTACTACTATTGGCTGCTGTTTGCATGATAAATCATTACCCATATATATATATATATTGTGTAAACTAGGGATTATTAACTCAGATTGTAGCTCATCTGATTTGGAGAGCCTTTAGAGTAAAGGTTTCTCATAAGGTGTGTGATTTCACCTTCAAACATTCGAGAACAGGGCGCACAAAGCCTGGTTAATCTAATACTCCGCTTATTGCGATTCGGTGACGGCTCCACACCGACCCACGATACTTAAATATTAATACAAGCATTCTTCCTCCCCAGTACACCGTTATCATCGTGTCATTCTCAGGGGCACGGCGAGCTCACGGTATTGTCACACACTTTCAATTTCAATTAAAGTGGGTGCACAGGGATAAGGAAAGTACCCACAAGGGGAGAGAATAAATACCTGTTAAAACGCTCTGCGTGTTTTGAAAGCGTGCTGCGGATTGATAAAAGATTAAAAGCGTTGAGAGTGATAGGGAGTTTGTCTGCACTTTTATCTGCTAGAAAAGATTGAACCAATCCATGCATCACATCCTTCTTCCCTCGTCTCTTTCTCTTCCATAAAAAAGGAGGTGTTTTTTTTTTTTTGAGTGTGTGTGTGTTTCAGCAGACATTCTTTTCCATTAATGAGTAGATGACGCAAAGATGATTTCTTGACAATTTTTGGGGTGTTTCTCAGGGCAAATTGTGGACCTATTTCATCTTTTTGGCTTCTGTTCACTTTTTTAATAAGCACAATGTAGGGCTGGGTGATATTGCAAACAAAAATCACTATTTTGACTTTTATAATTTGTATTTTATTCTTTTGAAATGTTAAAATTGTTTCAGAGGAACAAAAAAATACAGTATTTTCCTAAAAAAGTTGCTTTGTTGCCACTAAGAATTTCAATAGTCATTTTTCATTTACTAATTTGAAGGATTGCCCCCTCATAGTCGACCAAACGTTAGTCAACGAGAAGAGGGTTATTCACAGAAAAAAAGAAAAAAAAAAACTCCACTGGAAGTTGCGAAGTCACTCCGTGAAGGACAGATCCTTAACACAGCCAGTCCATGTGTTAATTACAGTGCGTCAGGCAGGAAATCTAAAGGTTGGCCTGTCATTCATCAACTTCAAATATGGCTTATCATTTAAAACATGCAAGTAGTATAGCTCAAACGTAACCAGGATAAATGTGCGCTATTATTAGGCACATATTAGTGTTAGTGGGGAGTATGGAGGCTGCCGCACTTACTGCATGATGTTCAACTGCCAAAGTGCCGGAACAATCACTTCCTTTTTCCTCTGATAACAGCGGAAAGAACTCTCATAATCATACAGCTAAGAGTAAGAAACCATTATAAGGGTCTACTTTAATTTGTGTACATTCACAATAACAACAAAACGTTGTGCTTTTGTGCTTTATAGAAAATAAACTTCTTTCTGGAGCGTGTTACAAGAATGAACCCAATCTCAGTGTATATTTGCCTCAAAGGTATCAGAAATATTTCTATAGACATATTCAAATGTCTATTTTTTTAAATGCATCAGTTCAAATCTAACAAACAGTCATACTGTGGATATTACCAGTCAACTACTTTTGCAGCTGAAACTGGCTCAGAAATCACTAGTTTATTAATAAATTGTTAATGTTCAGTCTCATAATAATTACTTTTGCTGGTGCGCTATGGCAAGCTTCATGTGTTATATTTCAAACCAATATTATGGTTTGGTATTTCTCTGTAATGTAGAACAATGCTAGCAATGTTATAATATTCTTTCTCTCTTCTGAATCTCAAACCATTTTCCGATAAATTAGAAATATCAGTCGACTTGAAAAATCTTGACAGCCCTTCAAATTTGTAATAGTGATTTTTAAAGAGAATTTTTTGCACTCTTACTCTTTTTCATCTAAATGAACCAATTGACAGTCAGGTAGTTGGTTTTGACATTGGCTGTCATGAAGCCATTATAACTTTTTAATGACAAATTCAATTAGTACCACTGTAGTTGAGGTCACGAAATATATTCATGACACAGTTATAATGGCCTCATGACAGCCAATGTAAAAGCCAACCACATGACAGTTTAACTTAAATTTATGTCACGTTGTCATGACAAAGACACTGACAGGTTATGATGTTATGGTTTATGTCAAGATGTCCTTACAAAGACATCTTAAACAATGTCATATTTGCATTCAAAATGTCATTATTAAGCGAAAGACACTTAATGACAGTTGTCATAAACCTTACTTCATATTCAATTTGGACAATTTTCATTTATATGTACCAATATAAACATAAACAGCAGTATTTACATGCATTTTTGTTTGAAAAAACTACATCACAAGGACATACATGAAACTTTTTGCATGAAACCATTGAATCAGAGTTTGAATTTGATTCATTGCAATGGATAGTTTGAATTGATGCACCAAAATGAATCAATCAACTGACTGTTTAGAGAGGACAGGAAATGATGGGGAGGAGAAGGGGAAATGAGAAATCCATACCTAACATCTAATGATCATTCTGCACTTTCAAAATTAGTTTTTATAAATGTTTTAGTCCCCACATTTTAGGAGATGTAGAAAGTGAACACAAAGGAAAACAAAAAAATGAAGTGGTTATGAAATTGTTTCGGCAAACCACTTCCTTGAGCTTGATTAGCAATAGCTAGCGGCTCCTGTGAATTGATTTTTCTACAAAGAGAATTGAAAAGCTCTATATTTGTGTGTCTGTGAATGTTTTGTGTTTTTCTTCAGGTGTGTAATGCAAAGTTTGTTCTTTTACTTCAAACTTTCGGAAGAATAATTGACAGGTTAATGCGCACAAAAACATGCTGACAGATACTCTTTTTTTTTTTCTCCTGTCATTCATTAGCACCTATACAGTTTGTTTGTGGAGATTGTCGTGTTTGCCAACAGCATCATGAGCTTCTCACTGACAGATCTGGATAGAGCTACAATGTTTTATGACACTGTTTTACATCTTATTGGGTACACATACACATTGTCCTCTCTTTCCCTTTTGCTTTTTTTGGTGTTCTTGCATGTGTTTGGATGCTAAATTGCCACATTATTTTTCGACACTACCAAATGGAGCCCAATTTTCATCTCTTCACCAGAAGACGTTTTGTCTTTACAATGGAAATTGCATTTATACCTAAAATCCCCACATTAAAGACATCTTATGCCTTCCGAGCCTCTAGTGAATGAGCAAAATGTGTAAACAAGATGAAAACAAAAAGAAATATATCTCCAATTGATTTAGGTAAAACATTTCAGTTTGAATATAAATCGTCTCTCAAGGTTAAAAACTCGCTCGAAGGCCTCGCGTAAATCTTTTCTTCTTGTGTTGAAGGTATTGATTAAGTCATAGCGTTAGAGTGGCTGGGTAATTCAACTTGTGGCAAGAGGTTTCTTTGACAATTTGTAATGGCTAAAAAGAGAGCACATGCCAAAAATATGAGTTCAGCTGATACATGTGATGGTTTAACTTGCGAAAGTTGTTGAAGGCACAGACAAACTGCATTTGAGACCTTGTGTGTGAGTGTCTAAAGCTTGAACTTCAAAAGATCTCGGTGGATTTACTGCACTCCCGTTGCTCTCTTTCCCTGTAGACTTGCTTCGCAGTTTCTTTGGTTCAATGGAAAGGGTCAGACTGTATGGACTCTACAGGGAAGCGGCTTGAGGAAACTTAGGTGAACAAAGTCCTCATTAGCACCATTAATATACCTTGCAATGGTTCCATTGCAGCCGTTCTGGCTCCTCATTAGTTGATTTTAACCTTTCACAGTGACCCATTATGGATCATTGTTGAACCCAGGATTAGGTAACTTATAACGGAACCAGGAAACGATGATTTAAAAGAAGCCAGAGGCCTCGGCGCCAATTTAAGAGCTTTCTTAAACTAGAGCCGAGGACCGTTGCTTGGAGACATAACTTTATAATGAGGAGCTGAGCTCTTGATTGATTACTTGTCTTTGTGACGGCTTGGCTGTGTTTATGTTCAAGGTAGTGCACCTTTTGTGTACACGTGAGGTCAGATTGCATTATTGCGGTGAATACTTCATTAGTGATGGTTGTTGGTTACATTGTTTGGTTTGCATAAAGTTATCTAAAGAGTGGTTAAGTTACAGTAGTTTCTCACTGTATTTAGAGACTGTTCAAGAATCCCAACAGAATGCTGTTTAATCTTTGCTGGTGTTGTCTTTTGCTTTACAAGCACCTCAATTAAAAATGATATAAAAAAGAGATGTTTAATTAGCTGATAATGTTGCAGTCCTTCATGTGCTGTTATATAACTAGTTGTGGTTGGCGTGGGCAGATAATGAGCTCCTCATGTTTCTTCATGGTTTTAAAGTTGGTTTAACTCAGATATCTGGAAACATGAAGATAGAGGCTGCAGTGGTGTCAGAAGTCAAACACCATATATTTATTTATTTTTTTCATTTAAAATTGAACAATGATATAGAGTGCAACAGGGCTATAAAGACGCATCGGAGTAAAAGGCACGTTCGACTTCATTATCCTTCAAACTAGATGGCACAAAGATTCTTCTTAAAAAACTTTGGATGATCCTTGATGCTTTGCAGACACAAAGTTGATTCTGCGAATAATTTAAACTAAAAAAAAAACATTAAACATTAGATCAGATTTATGTAGCAAATGAGAATTGATAAAATTATTGACTATATTGAGACAGGTCTTGTTAATGATTTTAAGTTTTGTTCAAGAAAAATACGGTATTTGGGATAAAAGGTGTATCCTTCTGTTGGAGCGAAAGGCACAATAATTAACATGATAATAAATAGCTGGCTGAATTTTTCATTTGTTGACATGACATGGTAAGATTCAGATATTAAGCTGGGTGTCCGCCTTAGAGATAATCACAAGTCATTAATATTATTAATCATATCATAAAATAACACATCAAATGTATTGTTACTACTGTAAAGTTATATTCAATTATTACAGGAGTTCCTTCAGTGTTTTCAGAATCTTTACTTTTAAAAAAAAATGTTTCGGTATTTTTAAAATGAACATTTTAATGAATCATATATTTATTGAACAAAAATCAATTATTTTATTTATCAAAACAGAAAATAGTACAAACTTTGCTAAAGTGATTGTTTTGAACAAGTATTAACTTTTAATATTCAAAACATATTACTTTATTTGTTTAGTTTAGCTTTATTTGTTAAATTTTATTTCTGTCATGCCAAACACTTTGCCCATCCCACATGGGATTACAAGACACCACAAACTTATTTTACAAACATTTTCCGGTCGCATATACAAATGAAATATATGAACACACACACACACACTCAGCATACAAACAAATCCTCAACTAAATCATCTTGATAAAGAGTAATGATCTTCTCAAGATTATTGGTTATTTTGTTTCACAAAACAGCCATCTCAATCTTTGAACATCATCTATATTTACCAAATCAATCTCTGATTTTATCTTACAAAACAAAAAAGCACGGTGCTCACAATAAAATGGACAGTAGAAAACAAATTGGAACTCGTTTTGTATAAATACTTTTTGTCTTTTGCCCCATGATGGTGAGCCTTTTACCCCATTTTTAAACAAAACAACAAACCAAACTAACAAATATATATATATATATATATATATATATATATATATATATATATATTTCTGTCAATCATACACTATGGGAGTAGTGAAAAGCATGTATGTATACATTTGTTTGTTTGTTTATTTATTAATTTGATTGATTGATTGATCCATGATGGATGGATGGATGGACAACAATTGTGAAGTTGTAGATTTTTTTTCTAAAAGATTTTGTTGTATTTACACAAGGCAATTGGGATTAATAAAGTCAGAATTGCTCAATATAAACTTGCAATTGTATAAACTTGCAGATATATAAACTTGCAGTTGTAAGAAAAGGAATGTTGAATTCTGAGTTTATATCAAGCAATTCTGACTTTATATCTCGCAATTCAGAATTGTAAGACAAAAAGTTGCAATTGTCTTTTAAATTGCATTATTCGGTGACGGAAACAAGCTTCCATAGGATTGTGAGTTAGACTGAAGGGAGTGTCATGGAGGTGAAGAGTTCATTGACACACTGGCCTTTAGAAGCTCTTCACTCTGTCTAATTGATTGGAGAGCGGCTTGTCCAGCACTCAGGAACTCTCTCACTGAAAGAGGAGGAGGGGGTTTGCTTAGTGAGTGAGTTAAGAGGGGGTCGTAAGGTTGAGGGGTCACAAATTGTGTCTCCTTGGTTGCGCTCCATCTCTTCAGTAATGTTTTGTGCTGTAAATCAATAGATTGATCTATCTTAGGGTTTCGTATTTTGAGCGTACAAATGGAAAAGGACTGCACTGAAGTAAAACTGGCTAAGTGTTTTAGAGGAAGTGACCTTGCTCTCTGCAATCTGTGGTATAAGATGTGCGTTTATGTTTGTTCAGAAATAGTTACCCCCACCTGTTATCACTCGGAAGTCTTCATTTTATTTTTTACACCAATTGTCTAGGTAATTTCTTTGACTTTGAATGCATTTGTTGTCATAACATAATTGTTGAAAAAAAGCTGTTACAATTGTTTCTCTCATTAAAGTCTTTTTTTTCATTGTCTTTACAAAACGGCTAACAAAAGAAACGATAATATGTGGTGACTGGTGAGGAGGTGTCACATTTATTGTGTTGTGCTTTCAAAAGAAACAACTGTCAAGTTCACTGGAAATGCTGAAAATAATGAAATAGGCTGTTCAAAGAGGAAACGAGTATTTTATCATTTTAGACACAATGCAAATGATGTAGCTTGGCATGAGGTAAGCATCAGGCGGAGGATTTTAAGCGAGTTTTGCCTCATTTAAATCCTTTGCTCCGTCTAAAGAAAACGACATCAGTGATGGAGGCCTGGGACCGAGTCCTGAGGTCTCCTCCAGTCTTACCTCAGATAAAAATACCCCGGGTTGGTTGTGTCCTGTAGAAAACTCCTGCCCGTGGATGTGGTGGGGGGAGATCAAGGGGTGTTTAATGATCAACATGAGTGGCAGTTTGTAGGTGGACATTGTTGGGTACTGAATTAACAGGGCTGAGTCTCCATGGCGCTGTCTTTATCATGGTCTTTTTTCCTTCTTTTTTTCTTCCTTTTTTCCTTCCTTTTCCAGAAGAAAGTGCTGGATATACTGCTGAGTTTAGTGCCAGCTGGTGTGGGTACTCTGAAAATGCCCTCTGGTGAAGATGACACACACACACACACACACACACACACACACACTGATGGATGAGAGGTCGCTCCTTTACTGCTGATGCTCCAATTCCAGATTGTAATTATGATATCCGCTTAACAAAACCTCTCTTCCTCCTTCTCGCTCTATCTCTCTAAGATGTTATCATTCAAGATCTCTTTTCTCTCTGACATATTCTCTTTTTGTCTCATCTCTTCTCAATTTTTCTCACTTTGCCTGGTCTATTTGCCTGCCCTCTCCTTGTCTCAGCTCATCTTTTCTTGTAGCTCATCGCTTCTTTTCTCAATTCTTCTGTTTTCATCTATTCTCACATCTCTTGCTTCATCTCTTCTCATAACTTTTTGTTGCCTTGTGTTTTCTCAACTCATCTCTTCTCACCTCGTCTAGTCTCTTATCCTCTCTTCTCGTCTCATCTTGGCTTTTTTGTTCCATTTCTTCACATCTCTTCTTGCTCTATCTCATTAAGTTCTCATCTAGAGTCTCTTCTCGACTTGACTCTTCTGTGCTTGTCTTTTGTCACCTCTTCTCACAGTTTAGTCTTTTTTGGGAGTGTTTATAATAAAA